ATAACCAATACTACTCCCCGAAGCCGACTTTCAAGGCCCCAGAGCATTACTCCTACACTCCTCATTTCGACCTCTCAGGTGAGACTGAGAAACCACCTAAAAATCTAGAACAGGAGGAGATGTTCAGGAAGGTTAAAAGTCTGGAACAGCCATTTAGAAACATGCAGGGATTGGGAGGCCAGGTGAGCGTGACCTATAAAGATTTGTGTCTATTTCTCGATGTTCAACTACCGGTGGGATTCAAGATGCCTAAATTTAATCTATACAATGAGCATGGGGACCCGGTGGCCCATTTGAGGGGATTCTGTAGTAAAATGAGAGGAGCCAGTGGGAAAGAGGAGCTATTGATGGCATACTTTAGCCTGAGTCTGAGCGGCGCGGCGTTGGAGTGCTACACTCGTCAAGATCACATCAGATGGTATACATGGGATGATTTGGCCCAAGAATTTGCTTGTCATTTCCAATACAACCTTGAGATTGTTCCAGATCGTTTGTCTCTGACCAAGATTGAGAAGAATCCTAGTGAAAGTTTTAGGGAGTACGGTTTTCGTTGGAGAGAACAAGCGGCAAGAGTTGACCCTCTGATGAAGGAGAGCGAAATGGTGGATTATTTTCTGCAGGCTCTGGAGCCTACTTACTTCGGCCATCTGATATCGGCCATAGGCAAATCTTTCAATGAGGTAGTGAAGATGGGTGGCATGGTGGAAGAAGGGCTTAAATCAAGCAAAATCATGAGTTACTCGGCTATTAAGGCAACTACCCAAGCCATTCAAAACAGTACTAGGGGAGTGATTGGAAAGAAGAAGAAAGAAGATGTGGCGACAGTTGATTCAGGATCATGGTTTGGACCCAGGGGCCCGTCACACCAATATACCCAGCCTCGACCCCATCACCAAACTTACACCCAGACCCTATATAATTCACCCCAACACTACTTCTCATCACCAGACCCTCATATTTCGGTCCACCATGCCTAGGAATATACTCAACCTCTTGCCTACGCACAATGGTGTGCCCCAGCCCCACAAAATACCTACCCAGCTCCACAAAATGCCTACCCACCCCCACGAGCCTACCGAAACCCTGTCGACCCACATTTTTGACCCAATCTAGCATTCAAAAATGAGAGGTTGCAGCGAAAGAAAACCTTCACCCCATTGAGGGAATCTTATACCAGTTTGTTCCATAGATTGAGGCAGTTGGATATGCTTAGGACAATTGAGTCGAAATTGCCAAACCCTCCTCCAAAGAATCTTGATTACTCCGTGAGCTGTGAATATTGTTCTGGTACCCCGGGGCATGATACGGAGAAATACTGGCACCTGAAAAATGCAATCTAGGAGCTCATTGACACAAACCGGATTGAAGTCCAAACTCCAGAGGCACCCAACATCAACCAGAACCAATTACCAACCCATCAGGAAACAAACATGATTGAGATAGTACATAAGGGGGGAGCCCAAGAAGCCTTCACAGATCATCATGATGATTCGGTCTAGTGAGGTCAAGCCAGTTAAAAAACCAACAGTTGAAGGATCAGTGAACAAATTGAGCATGACAAATGGTGAACCATCTGTGATAGTCAAGAAAGGATCCCCAAGTGATGTTGCGATGAAGCAAGAAAAGTCAAAAGTGATTGTGCCAGGAGTGGCAAACAAGCCTATCATAATTGTAGAGGGTGCACGTACGGATCCTATCATCATCAAGCCTGTAACCCAGTTGCTGGTAATCAGCACCAAGGCCATTCCATGGAACTATGAACGGGTGATAGTGACCTATAAGGGAAAAGAAGTGAAAGAAGAAGTCAATGAGGCCCAGGGATTAACTCGTTCGGGGAGATGCTTCGCCCCGGAAGAGTTAAGGAAAGCTAAAACATCCAGAGATAACCCAGTTCTAGTAAATAAAGTAGTGACTGAAGAAGAGGCGGAGGAATTTTTGAGAAAAAATGAAGGTACAAGATTATTCCATCGTGGAGCAACTGAGAAAGACGCCTGCTCAGATTTCATTGTTGTCATTGTTAATCCACTTAGACGAGCATCGTCGGGCCCTGATAAAAATTCTAAATGAGGCTCATGTTCCTGACAAAATTTCAGTAAACCATCAGGAAAAGATCGCCAACAAATATTTGAGGTGAATAGGGTCACCTTCTATGATGATGAGTTGCATGTGGAAGGTACTGAACACAACAAAGCTCTCTATATTACGGTAAAATGTGAAGATTTTATGGTTACTAGGGTATTAGTTGACAATGGGTCTAGTGCAAACATTTGTCCTCTTTCTACTCTAAACAAGTTGAAAGTTGATGATGAGAGGATTCACAAGAACAGCATCTGTGTTTGAGGTTTTGATGGTGGAGGGAAAGATTTAGTTGATGATATAGTGCTTGAGGTGACAATCGGACCGGTGGAATTCACTGTTCTAGGTACTGGACATGGCCGTCTTCTACAATTTGCTGTTAGGTCGACCTTGGATTCACGCCGCCGAAGCAGTCTCGTCCACTCTACACCAGATAGTCAAATTCGAATGTGATAGACAGGAGATCGTCGTGCATGGTGAAGATAACTTGTATGCTCACAGTGATGCCTCTGTCCCATTCATTGAGGTTGAAGATGACAAAGGGTCGTGGGTCTATCAAGTTTTTGAAATAGTGCCGGTAGAGAAGGCTCCAGAAGGGAAATGTGTTCCAACTCCAAAGATAGCCTCCGCATCAGTCATGGTGGCCTTTGAAATGTTGAAAAATGGCTTTGTGCCCGGTAAAGGTCTGCGTGCATCTCTGCAGGGTATCATACAGCCAGTGTCCCTTCCTGAAAATTTGGGTACGTTCGGTCTTGGATTCAAACCTATAGCGGCAGATGTGAAAAGGGCTAAAAGGTTGAAACAGAAGGCGTGGGTACTTCCAAAGCCTATTCTGTGTTTCTCCAGGTCTTTTGTCAAGCCCGATGCTAGGAAACGCCCAGTGACGACAGTTCCAAGTTCAGTGGTTAGCTTGATGAGGAGTTAATCAAAAGGTTCCAGAGGTTGTTTGATGATGTGAACATGGTAGAGGTTGGATAAGGTTCTAGCAAAGCGGGCGTGCAGTTTGTCGGGCCGAATGTAAAGCTTAACAATTGGATGGCTACTCCTCTCCCTACCCGGAAGGAGTTTTGGTAGTTTGTTTTTTTTTCCTTTCTAGCTGGGTCATTCCAGGGTTGTGACCCAAACTTTTATTTTTCGCTTGTTGATGTACAAACTATGTTATCCTTTATTTTCAATGAAATGCAATTTCCCTTTTTCATCATTCCTGATAGTTTTATTTTTGTTTTTCTTTTCTTCTCTGTACAGATCTTTTTATGCTGGTTTCAGTGACATGACATGCATGAGGAATCTTCAGCCCAGTCTTAAAAGTTAATCTAATTCTGAAATAATAATCCAAGAAATAGAGTGTGATGATGAATCAGAATATGATGAGGATGAGGCCTTCGAAGAGATTAGTAAGGAACTAAGTCATTTTGAGGAAAAACCCAAGCCTAACCTGAATGATACATAAGCAATCAATTTAGGGGACCCAGATAATGTCAGAGAAACTAAGATAAGTGTCCATCTTGAACCGCAAATCAGGGAAGAGATAATTAGAGCATTGTTTGAGTATAAGGATATTTTTGCATGGTCGTATGATGACATGCCAGGATTGAGTACCGATTTGGTGGTCCATAAATTGCCAATTGATCCAGCATTCCCTCCCGTCAAGCAGAAGTTGAGAAAGTTCAAAACCGACATGAGTGTGAAGATTAAAGAAGAGGTCACAAAGCAGCTTGATGCAAAGGTCATTCGAGTCACACGGTATCCCACGTGTTTAGCCAATGGTGTGCCTATGCCAAAGAAAGATGGTAAGACCAGGGTGTGTGTTGACTACCATGATCTCAACAAAGCAAGTCCAAAAGAAAACTTCCCACTGCCAAACATCCACATCCTGATCGATAACTGTGCCAAGCATGAGATTGGATCTTTTGTGGACTGCTATGCGGGATATCATCAGATTTTAATGGATGAGGAAGATGCGGAGAAGACGACATTCATCACGCCATGGGGAACATATTGTTACAGGGTCATGCCTTTTGGTTTGAAAAATGCTGGGGCAACTTACATGAGGGCTATGACAACCATATTCCATGACACGATACATAAGGAGATAGAGGTTTACATGAATGATGTGATCATAAAGTCCAGGAAGCAGTTTGACCACGTTAAAGATTTGAGAAAGTT